GTAGGTAGTAGGTGTGTGTGTGGGGGGGGGGGGGGACTGTCAAAATCCTCATCATCATGAACAGGTTCGGAAAATGCAGAAGGAACCAAATCATTGTCAGAAGAAAAAGGATGCCTCATATAACAATCAATCTCTCAACAAATGATAGCTGAAAAATCCTCGGTCAAGACCCACAAATCTGAAGTCAATAATGACATTCGAAGTAGCAGTAACAATATCAGAACTTGTAAAACACAAACTTTAGAATTCATTTTAAACCATGAAAAAGTTGAAAATGAGAAGAAAAAAATCAATAAACAAAGGTAAGTTATTGCAGTAAACTACTACAGACAAAACTAACTGTAACAAATAAATCACTACTTTGCAAAAAACAAAAAGAGCACAAGTGAAAAACTTCTTCACTGCCTAACAATAAATGATAGTTCTGTAGAATCTAATAAAGGGAGTCACATGCATCAGGAGGGTGTGTCACACTCATATTGGTGAAGGGTTGTTGCATGATGATATACATACAAGATGCAATTGAACTATGTTGATCATGGAGTATGTGGGAGTTCAAGGCTTGTGGCATTAAACAAAAATTTTTTGCATACAGAGAGCAGCACTGAAGAAGAACAGCTGTACATGTAACAGGAGGCAATGTACCATATCAGAAATTGCTATACTAGTCACTTTGGCCTAAAAGAACAGCCTCTGAAAGCGTGGCCACATAGCCCATGTTATTTCCCACACAAAATTGTATGTGTACCTCAAGTATGGAGTTATAGCTATAAATATGTGGCCGTACATAAGGAACAGACCCAGAGAGAGAGAAACATTTGCACTTATATATATTCAAAAATGATTTTCCTTCACATAATTTACCAAATACTTCATAAAAGTTTGAACAATCAAAGTTTTAGTAAATTATCTACATATTAAGTTCTTAAATACTCTTTACTTATAATTTTGCCTTACAATGGTTAATCATATATAAAAAAATCAGTTACGAACTATACTTTATGGAGTATATCCTCAAATACAGTTGAGATGTATTTTTAAGCCTCACTTTCACTTACAGAATCTTGTGGGATTTAAGGAGTGAATTCCTTCACTGAAATCATCAAACGTTTAAAATTTAACTGTCCTCACTGTCAGTATGGTTATATTGGTTCTAGTAAAAGAAAACTGTTAACTCTCATAAAGGATCGTGCAAATTAATAGATCCAGTGTACTGGAACATGAGTATGATGTAGTCATCAACCGAAATTGCTCAAAGATCTTAATGGCTAATAATGAATAGAACCTCCATATATGAGATCTTGCTTATACATAACTTACATCAGAGTATAATCAAGTAAATTCTGCTTTTAAAATGCTCATGTATATTTTTACAAAAATACATAAAAAGTTTGTGAAATTATTAATTAATTCTGTGAGAAAAAAAATTGCTAAGGTAAGAAAAAGGGATACTAAGTCTGTTAGAAATGATGAGCTACCATTTAAAATAATTTAGAAATACAAGTTAGTTATGAGTTCACATGATTATTTACAGATTATGAAATGCATGTAAGTTAGATACAATTTCCCTGCAAATGTCAGAACTATTCTGTAACTACTTTCACATGATAGACAGCAACTTCTCCCACATTTAAAAAGCAAAACACTCTGACCAGGCTTGTAAGATGTCTTCAAAACATGATTGGTGGTTGAAGAGGTATATGACTGCTCTTTCTGAAGGAAAGTATTTGTACAGTCAGGCTATTAAAATATGTACAGCCAAAGGACAAAATATTCTAAAGAACAGTCTTCAGTGTTCTCCATGAAGCATAAGATTTCATACAACAGAACATTCAGAACATTGAATTCCTAAATCAATCATTCCTCTAAACAAACAGGACCAATTTACCTACTCATACATAAGTTACATCTCTTAAGTTATTGAAAAGTTTCATCCACAGTTTAATTTTATATAAAAATGAAAAAAATTACAATTTTAGCATCTACAGCAACTTCCACAATAAATAGTAGTACACAAAACAAGTCCAATTAACTAGTTGGTACACATAATAAAAAAAAGCTCAAAATCTTTATACAGCATGCCAACACTTTATCAAATTTCCATATTGAAATATTACAATCTTACAACATATTTTCTAACATAAAACTTAAATCAGGATACTGGGATCTCTGAAACAAATTTTGTTTGGAGAATGTAATTGTTTCATCAGTTTTACCACACTTTGTTTTTACATCACTGAAGTAATTCTCTAGATTAAACTTGGAATGTCTTCTCTAAGTACAACAAATTTCAATTAATAAAATCTATGGCTATTATTTCAAATTATCCAAAATCACTGTCACCTTTAAGGGACAAATCTTGATAACTAGGTGTCAGAAGAATAAATTAAGAAGTATTTTTACTTACTAAATCACAATGGTACTAAATAATGTAATTGGCATGTCTTTTTATAAAACAAGTAAACACTGTATTAAGTTACACTGTAAAAGTCACTGAAGCATAACAAATCTTAGAGCAAAATACACACATACATTCCTCTGGAATCAACTGAAATGGATCTCACTGGCTGTGTATGACATAACATCTTCACTACAGGCTCTTCAACATTGGGAGACCACATGCTAATAGTACCTAAAAATATGAAAACCCTTTCATAACTCAGAATTCCTTGTGAAAAAACTATATATATACTTAATCAAGAAGAACAGAAAACTGGAATCTTAAAAGAGTACTTTTTAATACTAAAATTTTAAAACTGTTCTTTAATATAAAAATATTTGTGGCTATAGCCTATTTCAAATACAAAAACTTACCATTTGGGTGACCTGCCACTAAAATGGCATTATAGGGATTTTGACAAAGAACATCTAAGTGGCCTGACTTTGCATAAAATTGTGCAACCATTTTTCCTACTGAAACATCAAGCCATGAGAGATAACTGGTCTCACTCTAAATTAAAAAAAAACTACTTTACAATTCTTGAAATACTTCAACTGAAACTTCTGAATTTTGTATACAGTGGTTAACTTACTATCATATTAACATATTCTTTATACCCCTATAACAAAAAGATTAAATATTACAAACGAAATTGATTCAGTTTGTAATCCTAAACATGATTTACTGTAATTTGCTATGGAATTAATATTACATAAAGTAAATTTTGTGTAACATACTTTGGATGTGCTGAAAAAAAATCTCATACAAACAAATTTTGGTTTGATAAGAAGCTCTAATTCATATTAAATCCAGCATACAAAAATGTAATATATATTATATAAAATAAAAAATACAAGTTTCAATTAAAGAAGTTTCTAATCTTTGTGTTATTCAGGCAATAAATCACTATCAGCAATAGTTATTATTTAAGAATAGCAAAAATATTTTATTTCAGTATTTTTTTTTATCACCCTTCCCAGACGAGTCAAAAGTGAAATGGCACATCATTGCATTCAAAATATTATTGAACTATTATTTCATGAAATTATTTCAATACATTTGGTATCAAACTGTAGATTATAATTGAAATTTTAGTATTATAAATTACTCAATTTCTTAACTTAAAATTAAATATAAAAAACAACACAGATAAACATAAATTTTTGTGTGTCATGTGGTATGTTGAATGCAACATTGGTTCAAATTAGAGGTTTGTGATGTCAAAATACTAAGTCTATAGGTTCATATGAATTAGGAACTCAAATTACTGATATTGACAAGCTAGAATACAAAATAAGAACC